GTGTGTGTGTGAGAGAGAGAGAGAGAGAGAGAGAGAGAGAGAGAGAGAGAGAGAGTCTATTTTGAAAAGTCTTAACAGGTATATTTTTATGTTTAGAAAAGGAAATACAGCACACATTGTTTAGACAACAAGAAAGTGTCTTTTTTTTTGGTTTGTTTTTGTTTTTTCCCATAAAAGAACTCGTAAGAATTACGAGAGTATAAATCCCCTCTCTGTCGGCATATGGTGCTCTGAGCTATAGGACTTCAAGGTGTAGTTTCTGGTCAGTCTTTGCCGACACTCCGGGCTGTCAACGAAAGTGAAAGTTATGTTCATTTAGGTGTCTCACGCGTAGATTTGAAACCTGGATGTAGCAACTGTAATTAAACCGTTGGTTTTAACTAATGTCCCGTCCACAGTGCATCGCCGCGGGTTAGAACGGACGATGTTCAATGCTGAACATACCATCTGCCCTGAGGAGGCATCTGAATTAAACACAGGTCCTCTTAAATTGACCATTAGTGCTGAAATTAGGGTGTTCCCTGATTAAATAACCCATTATTGTTGGGTCCAAAGATTTGTTGTCGGCCCCGTTGTGCAATCAGGCCCTTAAGTCCAATTTATGATTTTCAACGGTCACCTTGGCCGCCATCTCTATTCCGGCACCGCAGCCGTGAATGAAAAACATTGGTTTGCATTAATACGATCTCAAAAGAAAAATAGTGCCCATTCAGGCCGGTGAAACAGACAATCCCACTATTAATTCTGGTCAACTGGGCCATTGCCGGTAACAAAAGTGAAAAAGTTCTGGACAATAGATAATAACTTTCATCAGGGTCCCTACATTCTTACCTTGCAAAGAAAAATGTGGAGAAAAAAAATGCACCAGTTGCTAACTATTCTCAGTTTAAATGTTGAACAGGTGTGTGCAAAGACTCAATCATACCATTACAGGTGTGTGCAAAGACTCAACCATGCCATTACAGCACTTGATCCTTTTTAAAGAAAAGATATACAAATCGTTAACACATGCTCCTACTACGTATGCAATCAGATTTGTCACTATAATGTATTAATTACTAGATGTGAATATAAGACAAATAAAACAAATCTAACACATATATAATACGGCTACATAGTTCCTTTTTCTATAAACTGATATGGATGCTGATAACAAGGTAGACAATGACAGTGGTAGATGATAACGACGGTGTCGACGACGACGATGATGGTGGTGATGGTGATAATGAAATTGCAGGGTGGTGCATAAAAGTGGTAGTCGAGGGACGGCGATGACCATAATGACGATATTGTGGACGATGATTGTGATACGCGAAAAATAAAACGGGTACTTAGCAACACAAGTTCTTGCAAAACCTGCACAGTTAAACTACGGGCCCAAGAGTATGGCATTTCATTGATCTCAATTCTTCGTTCTATTGTATTGGTGTAAAAAAAATAAATAAATATGAGTAACGGTTTAATGGGTATTGTAACCTAAAAGGGAAAAAAAATGTTCCTTAATATTTCATTTTGTGTGTCACTATATTCTCCGTTGTTTTGAAAAATTTAAAAAAGGAAGACAATGAGTAACTTGAACTAAAGTTTCGGTTAGGGTGTGATAGTTATGTGATATGATCCCCATCTCTATGGTTTTATGTGGTTTGGTTATCGTTATCTAGGAGATGGTCGACCACGGTGTTATTGCCCAGATCATGTAATCATTAATATTAAAAAATGAAATTAATGGATGGAATGACAGAGATCTAAGCAAAGGAGACATGAGCGCCCCGTGTATAAAATATAACAATTTAAGCAATTACATGAATAAAAATGAAATTAAACATGACATTTAAACAATACATTTTCCTTTTTAAAATATAATTACAAAATTTATGAGAAATGCAATTAACCATTCTATTATACCAATAAAACAAATTTTATCACAAAATTGAGTGTCTGATCGAACTCAAATTGCCACATGTAAGCGTAAGCAATCCTCTCTCTCTCTCTCTCTCTCTCTCTCTCTCTCTCTCTCTCTCTCTCTCTCTCTCTCTCTCTCTCTCTCTCTCTCTCTCTCTCTCTCTCTCTCTTATTATTCGAGTCTTCAACAGTGATTAAATTGTCTGCTGTCTTTTTCCACTACGTGGTGCACCTATCGTGCATTTTTTACCTAAAAGAAATAAACGCAAATTAAATATTTGTCAGGATTTTTCTTTTCTGGCGCCATACATTATTCACACTCTTGATATATCCGATACGGCATTATCGGAGCACAACAGTCTAAGGCTACTTCGCTAGCCGATACTGATACACAATCTTATAAATTTAAGGTTTCTCTATCGTCTGCTGGTAATCCTAATCGGGACCACGACCAAATTAGACCTATTTGATAAATATTACGTCATAACGTACATTACAAGCTGAACTATGTTGGTCGATACCCGCCGATTCTCTTGGTTAACATAATTCACAACTTACTGGTGCAAAGGAATTAAAGGACTTCGCGTCTTCATTGACATAGACATAGTAATTTCAATTCTTAGCATGCATGATACATATTATTTCAGACAGATAAAATAATTTTCACAATTCGTATCAGAGTAACGCATGCAATTCCTGCAATACATGATTTTTAGTACAAATGAGCAATTCGAACCATTTCATATAATACACAAGTAATATAACGTTCAAGAGAAATGCATGAAAACTTCCATCAGTGAAGAGTTTTAATTCGATTAAGACAATACATTTGTGTCTCTTGAAGACTCTCTCTCTCTCTCTCTCTCTCTCTCTCTCTCTCTCTCTCTCTCTCTCTCTCTCTCTCTCTCTCTCTCTCCTCTCTCTCTCCCTCTCTCTCTCTCTCTCTCTCTCTCTCTCTCTCTCTCTCTCTCTCTCTCTCTCTCTCTCTCTCTCTCTCTCTCTCTCTCTCTCTCTCTCTCTCTCTCTAAAGCCAAATCTCTTTTTCCGTATCCCTCAACTTCTTCAATACTTAGTCATTGGACAATTTAACAAGAAAGACATTTTTCAGTGAGCCAGTTTCCCCTTCCACAGAAAAACTTGGACTACCGAAAATCGCAAAAAAAATATTTATAACTTTGAATTTCATCCGAGAAACACACCCCTTAATAAGTTTTTTTTTTTCCAATATGATTAACTTTCTGTAACCGTCAAATTTTAAACACTGCCGTCGAAGTCAAAATAATTTTCTCTAATCTACCTTTTTAATAACTATTCTGGAAAATATCATTTTATGACACCTATTTCAAATCGTACAAGATTCCCAAATGATCTGGCTTGTCTCTACTTTGTCACTTCCTCCACTTCTCCCTACCCTAACATATATGTTGGACCATTATATTAGCGGGTCCTAATTAAAGACCAATCATGCTCCCAAACAGGAGATGTTAAAAATCGTAAGCTACCAATTTGTGGATAGCCTAGCCCATGTGTCTCTTAGTGGATACGTGTCACGCTGACCACGACAGTATGTACTGCCAAAACAACTGCAAAACTTTGCACCATTGCACTTTCAAACAAATTGAGACACGTGAAAAATATCCACACGAACGCAGATGTGTAGAGTTTTCAAACCTGGACGAGAAAAACTAATCCTATTGCAACTTATAAGTGTAGTTATTCTTAACCCAGCTTTTTTGAAGCTATCACATAGCCGATACCATATACCAGGTTTTCGTATTTAACAAGTACGGTATGTTGCGATAAAACAATTTTGAAAGCAACGCATTTTTACATGGAAACATTTTTTTCCTCCTTTGAATAGTTTCGAAGAAAGGAAAGAAAGAAGTGAATTCATCAGGTTAAACGAGCTTGAGGAAACGCGTGTAATACACAGATGTGTAATAACAAGTTATGACAAATAAAGTTACAGTTTTTTTTGGAACGGTAGATTTCCACTTTTCCACAAACATCAAGTTTATTATGTAGCATGTTTTAAACTGCACTATTATGCATTCTTGAAGCTATGAGATTGGTTTGTTTGGAATCTTGAGGATGAATTTCTTGCGTCTTTTAAATTTAATATCCACACCTGAACTACTTTTTGTTGCTGCCTTGGTATTCCTCGAAATAAATGCATCGGAAGTACCGTATTATCTCTGTCACAGTCCGGCACCATCCGAGACTGAACGTGACGTCACAAGGTTGGTTTATTTACAATGGCTACATGTACTATGCAGTTGAAGCTCGTGATTGCATATTTCCAAGCTGAAACCAAGGAAGTTGACCATTTAACTTTCGTTGGTGGTCTTGGTAGATTTGGGTAGGAATGGGATTAACTTCGGATCCGATATAATTCTTTTTCTTTTACCTTAAAACAATTGATTTCAACCAATATTATGGCATGATTTCTTTCCGCAACAAACTCCAGCCCCCTCCTCCCAGAAAATATAAATGGTCCGACCCTAACATACAATTTACGTGCTAATAAGATATTTTTGACATTTACTCTCAACGTGATGAATCTAGTTTCGAACATGTTGCTGCAAAAATGATAGGTGTCTTAGCGTCGCGCTAGGAATGGATATGATGAGAACTGTGTCATTTCTGTTTTTGTTTGTTTATTTGTTTGTTTTCTCCCTCCCTCCGTCCCTCTCTCTCTCTCTCTCTCTCTCTCTCAGTCTCTCTCTCTCTCTCTCTCTCTCTCTCTCTCTCTCTCTCTCTCTCTCTCTCTCTCTCTCTCTCTCTCTCTTGTTTTATGTGTATATTTAGGTGCTGTAAACATTACATCTTCAAGGAATATTTTTTATTTTAACATGAATAAATGTATGTTATTTGTATTTTTAACATAGCTTTAACAACATTTCAGTCATATCACTAAGATGTATGCAGCGTTGCAGTTTGTAGTTATTTCTAGCAATGTGGGCATCATGCCGCAGACATAATGTCTCACCCAGTCACATTATCCTGACACCAGGCCGACCAGTCTCAACACTGACCTCCTAATGCTGAGGCCCGAGCGTGGGAGCTGTTAGTACCATTTTTACAATAAGTAGTTGGCATGACTCGGACAGGGTTCGAACTTGCCACCTCCCGCATCAGAGGCGGATGCTCTAACCACTTAGGTCACCGGATTTGGTATTACGTGGCTATTGGACCTCTGTTCATGCACATGTAGGCTGCAAGATTTGCTTTGCCATGTGATTAGCAATGAAAATGACGAGTAACTTGTCAAATTTCCTCAACGCTATTGTTTGTCTCGTCTGTCAACAAATTAAAGATATAACGAATTTTATACTCGCAATATCTGGGAAGAAAGAAAAATATTTCCTATTAATTTTTTGCAGGTAGAGTTTGATGTAAAGTCGTTTAAGTTTGCATTACCGTTTCATAAGCCGCTACCTTATTCCTAGTCCGATAAATGAACCTACCAATTCTGAATTGATACTGATGGACGAAACCGAAATCAATATCGTCACGGCGGAGGAGCTGATTTATTGGCCTATCCTACGCATCCATGGCGAACTCCAGCTTTTAGATGACCAAGGTGTTCTGACCCCACACCACAACATTAACGTCACAATATCTGACATGAGGTGGGAAGTGTCAGAGGAAACTCGGACTAGAAGTTTCCATACTGCATTATTATCTTGGGTTTTTTATATGACGGTAACATGTATAAAAACAAAAGAGTAACATTTTTGTTACCTTCCTTTCAAAACATACAGCGTCTATTAAATAAATCATCCCTGTCACTGGCATTTTTCAACGTCGAGGAACGTAAAGATATATGAGGGAATGAAAAGATTTTTGTGTACTTATGTTTATCAGATAACGGAAAAACGTCAAGCTTCAAACGAACAGCGCGTGTTTTTGTCGTGTTCAGCCCATCAACCTGTCGCACATGACGTTTATGATGTCGTGTGGTCCTGTTGGATTTGACACTGAAATGGAAGTCCAGTCGCAGAAGACAAATGAGTTTGGTATTGAGAGAGAGAGAGAGAGAGAGAGAGAGAGAGAGAGAGAGAGAGAGAGAGAGAGAGAGAGAGAGAGAGAGAGAGAGAGAGAGAGAGATGAGAGATGAGAGATGAGAGAGAGAGAGAGAGAGAGAATAAAAGTCATGATTTAGAATTTTGTTAGCTTTTAGATTACAGTCATATCTGAAGTGAGTTGAAAGAATCAACACCATTTCATAATAGTCGTTCAGTCATATCTGAAATGAGTTGAAAGAGTCAACACCATTTCATAATAGTCGTATTTTTATAAATGGCATCATCACATATATTGTCCTTTGTCATCGTTTCTTTTTCTTTCTTTGTCTTCTTCATCATCTTCACTTTTTAGTATTATTCTATAATATTATTTAATATTATTTCACGAAAAGTTAGAAAACTGACAAGAACAGTGTTAAAAATCATCATCGTTTCTTTTTCGTTTTTTCCTTGTCTTCTTCATTATCATCTTCTTTTCCCACATATTATTCTATAAGATTATTTCACAAACGTGTGAAAAATGTCATGAACAGTATTAAAAATATGAGATGCGTTCTTTTTGTGTTTTCTTTTTTAAATCTCCAATATATTTATTTTAATTTGAAATTTTGTCTAAATCTGAATAATTTATGTTTCGATGTATAATAAACTATGAGATTACGATCAGGAACACGTAAATAAAGAGACATTGAGGAGAGAAGCGACGTACTTTTTGCTTTAGTCTGATTCCAAGTGGCGAAAATTCTGTAGGAAGCCGACGAGTACCTTTGCCTTCATGGACGGGTTGCAATCTTCTCGCACCTAACTCCTGGGTATGCCACTAGGTTTTTTGAGAGGAATTTCTGGGTATGAAGAGCAGAATAAAAAATTTGTGCCAGGATTGGCATGTTATGTTTTGTATACAATTTTAAAACATTTAAGAGCATGTTTGAAAAATCGGGAAATGTTCTCCATAAGAACCGCACTCAAATCAAGGTCTGATTTATTGGAGGTCTCGGCAGTTTTGCTGTTATTTTTAATGAAAGTGTAAAATAAACAGAAGATATCATTTCTGGTACAATGGTTTGATTCTCCACCTTATACTCAGAAATTCATCTCATCTTTTTAATAGTATAACCTGCGAGAAAATTGTCAGATATGTACAATATGAAAGGGTGTACCACACTGATTACCAGACTTGCGTCTACAATGTTGATTATACAGGCGTTTGCCATATTCCTTGCCAGCTGTGTGGCGTATTGATTATACGGTATTATACCATATTGATTGCACAGGCTTGTACCATATTGATTTGACCGGCGCGTACCTTATTAATTAATTATAGATGCGTTTACCGTATTGATTATACACGTTTTAACCATATTGATTGCTTGGCTTGCACCCTATTATTTATAAAGGCTTGTACCATGTCGATTATACAAGCTTGTACCATGTTGCTTTTACAAGCTACCGTATATATATATATATATATATATATATATATATATATATATATATATATATATATATATATATATATATATATATATATATATATATTAGACTTGTACCATATTGATTATCAGGCGTGTATCATATTGGTTAATGTATCAAATTAAAATTAAATACAGATCTTGGCACGTGAATGCTTATGTTTAGTTTACAAAATGCTACATCAACTTTGAAACGAAACTTTATTTTCACCTGGGCTCATAGCTGTATTATTTAATCCAGTTTTCCTGAGCAAGTAGACTTGCTAAAGCTCCAATTATTCTTCAAGCTATATTTTCCTTCTGCTAAAGTAGCTTTGGCAGAATAATATCTGACGAAAATTCCGTGCAGTGAAGAAAAATGCTTCTAGCTTATCAATGTTACATGTGGACATGTATTGTCCATGACACATCTAATTGATCTAAATAATTGTACGCGCGGGATTTAAATACAATGTCGAGTTTTGAAAATATTGATTTTTCTAGTTCTTTTACATTTGCTTCCATTGTGCAGAGTGATGCATGGTGACTCAACTGTCAATGAGAAAACGCAGCAGTCGTAACAGATGTTGGCTTCTCGCTGTTTACATGGGAAAAGAAAATAATGTCGTTTATTATTAAATCAGAAGTGTTAGCATATACACCTTAAGAGGTTTGCTTTAGACTGGTGTTTAAATACCAGCATAGAAAGAAAATATTCTAATTTTTAGGCGCATCGAGAGATAACGTAATAGAATCTTGAATGTCCCGCCAAAATCTTTGATCATAAATTAACGGCCGTATTTAAGTTCGAGATCATGCACACATCTTCGAGTCAATACCATTTTTTTAGCGCATGCTTACTACAAGGATGAAGGTATTTTAATATTTTCTGATTGTTAGCTATGTGGATTCGAGACATCAAATGGTCTCGCCACACAGTACATGCATCTTTGTGTTTTAACCAAAGGCGCATTCAATTTTTAAAGCGTCTGTTTAAACTTCACTACCTCGCTGTAGAACTTTGCTCGTCTCTGGCCACGAGTCTGTCCGTTCTGATGATTTTATAATTTAGTGATACAATCGTGCAAGCATAAATTTTCAAAGCTGTATTTTGGTCTGTTCTCGAATTGCAGTTTTCATATTTAATTGGTCGCCTAAGTCTGACATTTTATTTATTCAGATAACTATCCAGTTAAAGGATACATTAGAATGAGTGATCATTTTCTGTCCTATTTCACGTTGAAGAATTCACACGTAAGTAGCAATATTACAAACACCATTCTTCTGCAATAACGTTAGATTCTCAACCTCATTTACATTGGCTAAATTTAGGACCTTCACGATGTGATATATCGAATCGACAATAGAATCCCCTGTCTGTATGAATGTCACTCTGCATAATCATGCATTCAAAAGAACTGTCCCTAACGTTAATTTTCATAAATAATTAGTTCTTCTCAAAACAAATAATTACATCAGTCTCCATCATCTTTATCTTGTGCGAACGTTGTTTGTTTTAGGCGTGGTCTCATTTCCCACATTATCCACGTGTGATCGAGATCGAGCAAATTGCTAGTTAAACAATTTTAACTCGGAAAGCAAACAGATTCAAAATCACGTGGATCTGGAAATTGTTACACTTTCTTACAAACGGTGAACTGTTCGCGATACTGCCTGTGCAACGGTTTTCTCGCCCTTATCATTCAGCGTGTGATGTGAGCCGTAGTAAACCGCTAAATGACTTGCGGGGACGAGAAAAAAATGTGGGATAACTAACAGAAAGCTACAGCTTTTGTGCAATTAAATAAAAACTCTTGCATAATTAGCTGATATGTCGCATACGACATTTTAAGGTATATTTCCTGCTTTAATTCGATTTTAATTACAATGTAGTATACGATTTTATTTTTTTATTCTTTATGTTATGCGTAACGAGAAGAGCAACCCATCTAAGTCCCTTGTAGAGCCTCTCCATATTGCTGTAATATCAACAAAGCCTCTGCGATTTGAATGGTGCACTAAATCTTAAGCATGCGCACTGCGTTCTTTCAGTGAAAGGCGCTCATTACAAACAGCCTTGAATCCCAAAAGTGTAGCTAGAAGAAGAATGACATTTTCACATGTTCCTCAACAGATTGATGCGAAGTAGACTATGCCGAGAACATTTCTTATAAGGCGAAGTCTCGAGGTCCCCCATAGTCCCGACAACCCTTGCAACGATTGCTGCAGCCCTGGGGACGGGGAAATGTGTTGTTGTACAGCTACGGAAGATAACGAAAACACAGGTCAGTGAATCCTATGTTAGGACGAAAGTCGCTGTATCAGATTTCTGATACATCTGATAAGTCCTTGCTTTCTTTTGTACAATATGTATCTCCTCAATTTGTTGATAGATAAGATCGCACTTGGTGTCAGAAAAGTAATTTTGGGGGTCAGTGACTCATTATACATAGAAACAATGTATGAACATTGGAATAACTGTTCTCTATCCGGCTCCTCACCACATGGGAAATTGTTCGCTACAAGTTTACCGCATAAATCTGATAAAACTAGGGAGAAAGTTGACATAATCATAATATTGCATCATCAAGTGCGACTTTTGAGTTTCCAAATATTTTGTGAATGTAGACTGAGGTGCATATACTGGGCTCGTATGTGTTTGTCCAATTATTATTATTATTATTATTATTATT